GTTTGGAGTGTTACTACAATCTGTGTAATATCATTGTATCTTGGGAGATAGATGCCATTTATCCGTAAGTACCGAAACATGATGAATCTGTTTTAAAGACAGAGTGTCTCACACTCAACTTGATCAATTTTTGTACTTATTCATTTCAGTAAATAAATTCTGTAAATAATTTATTTTTAATTGTTTGATTTGGTTTCAAGTTATTTATTTTACACAAAATATTGTTCTAACACTTAGGCTCGGGCCAGCCCACTGTCGAACCTAGCAGGCTTTCTTCAAAAATTGAGCGTGGGTCAGGATCACGGGCTGGGCCTCAAAACAGATGGCCCAGACCCAGGCCCAGGGTCTTGGGTTGGGCTTGGGCTCGGGCTTGGGCCTAGTCGGGTCTAATTGTGTCGGGCCGTACCTAGTCGCGAGGCGAGTTTCGGGTAGACTGCAGGCCAGTGGGCCGATTTTACACTTCCTTGGACAATCATAAGATGTGACGACTATACTATTTTAGTTTTAAAAATGATTTATTATTTTAATTATTATTTGAATAAAATTGGATTGATAGTACGATTATACATAATTTTATAATTAAAATGATAAATCATTTTTTATATATACAATAGTGCATATCTGTATGTAGGGGTGGGCATTTGACAGGTTGAGCCGATACTACATAATAAAGGACTTTGACTTGTTACTGGGGTCAAATCCTCAAAATTTTTGTTGTTGTAACTCCTCCATGTTAATTTGAGAGAATTTCAAAAAATGGAGAGTGAGATTGTTTTTTTTTTTTTTTTCCAACTAATGAAGGTATTATTTATATAGTTGAATGCGTAACTCATTTGTACCTTCATTCTTTTGTAATTATTTATTCTTCCTTTTAATTTTATCCCATTACAATCTCCATAATTCCAAAAATATATTTATCCCTAACCTTATGTATTCTCTTACACTCTGACATTTTAAACCCTAACCCCAAACCCACCCCACTACTAATCTCCAACCGCCTCATCCATTAGGTTTGAATTTCTTTCATATTCAAATATGAATTTGAAAAAAATTGAAGGGCTCATGAAGTCCATTATGTGTCATATTTTAATGATCTAAACTGTTCATTTTGTAAAATTGTCTGTATACATTATGCATAAAAAAATTAGGTCGATTTGATATTTTAATCATTGAACTCAATGAAAAATGTACTTTAGACATTTTATATATATACATTGAATTTAATAAATAAAATATTATTTTTTTCATTTATTTTACTTAATAAAAATAGACAAATAGTTTAAATTAAAAATAATTCAAAAGATGAAGATTTAAATTGAAAAAATTGTAAATTCAAGATTTATTTTGTTACAATACTCAAACCTTGAATTTTTTTTAATTTTTTTTAATAACTATCCCTAATTTTTATTACAAAAGTTTATAACTTTCGGTACAAAATTTTTTCTTAATAACATCCGTGAGTAAATTGGACAAAATTGAGGTCACAGCTGGTCGAAATGTTTGACTAAGAAAATGTAAAAAAAATGACTTTTACTAACCAATTTAATTAAGACCAAAAAAATATATACATATATATACAAATCACTGAATAATTTGAGCTGACATTACATAATAAATTTTTTGTATTTATCCAAAGTCGACCCAATCTTGACATTGGGACTCTATATTTACCCAAGCCTGGCTTTAAAAATAATTATAAATTCCAAACTCACCAATCAGGGCTATATGATAAAAAAAAAACTAAACATTTCGTAATTAAATTCAATTACACATTATATTTATTAAACAAATATACTGATATCATTATAAATTATTTTTTTTAAAAAAATTCAATCACACATCATCACAAATGTAAATTTTAATAAAATTAATAAAGATAAAGTCTAAAGCATAACAAAGAATATATATTTTAATAATTAATTAATTTAATAGTTGGTCGGGAGCTGGGTTAAAAATATAAATTTGAAACTCAGCCTATTAACATATCAGGCTGAAAATGTTGGCTCAGCCCGACTTGTGAGTTAAAATAACCTTTCCAAGTCTAACACGTGGCATGACGTGAAAGCTTTCTGGCTTTCAGTTAATAATAATATAAACAGATAATTAATAAATATCACTACTAATAATATAGATATAGATATAGATAGATAGAAGATAAGTAAGAAAGTGTTGGGTTGTTCCGTTTATTAAAAAATAAAATAAAATAAAATAAAAGAATTAATAATTATTGTAAGTTTTGGGAAGCGGTAAAATCTTATCAGAGCTGTTTTTGTACACAAATTTTGTATTAGGCCTTATTTGAAAATTATTATTTTTTTAATATGTTTGAAATGGGTTTTTCATGTTTTTTTATTAAAAAACATGCAAAAAAAATAAATAAATAAAGAAGAAAGAATCTTTGTCTTTATAGTGTAAATAAAAAAAAAATTAACCCTTTTTTAATATGAATTCAAAATTTATTGACTTATTGATTTTTTTAAATAATTTTTTAACATTTTAATTAAATTAACCACTTGTGAATAGGAGTGGATAAACGTCGGGCCAAACTGGATTCGGGCCGGGCCGGTATTACATGATAAGAAATTTTGTGTCTGCCAAGCCTGACCCAGCCGTAATATTGAGTCTCTATATCTTCCCAAACTCAGTCTGAAAAATAATTATAAATCTCAAACCATCAATTGAATCATATGTTAAAAATAAAATAAAATATTCCATAACTAAATTCAAGCATACGTTATATTTTTTAAATAAATATACTGATATTATTATAAATTTAAAAAATTATGTATAAATTAATTCTTTAAAAAAATTCAATCACACATCACTTAAAATAAAATAAAAAAATCAATATATGCTGATCTGGACACATTAAACCTCAAAACAAAAGTAAAAATGATTAAAAGTTCTAATTTTAGAATTTTAAGAGAAACTCTAATGATAGAACCCATCATGTAATATAATGTTTATACTTTTTTGTTTGATTTTTTTTTTCTATACTACATTACTAGAGCTCAAATTAAAAAGGAAAAATTAGTCTTAGGTCCCTCTCCCATTTTTAGTAATAAAAGAGATCCACAATATTATTTTATGATGTCTAAGGTTTCTCAATCCCAAACCCATATATCACAGAGAAATTTGTGTCTTCCGAATGTTTCTTCATTTTGCTTCTACTACCCATTTGTATGTATGTATAGAGAGAGAGAGAGATTAGGGTTTCTTCTACAAAGGAATTTGACTAATCATGTCACCGGTGACATGGTGGTCAACATTGGCAGGGGAAACCACTCACAGGGCTGACACTCATCTGTCCACCAAAAAAACATAGTTATTTCTCATGCTTGCTGTAGCACCAGGACGCAACTCCAGATTCTCATCAGCCTCCAAATGGATTTCAGTGATGGTTTTGGCTTTACTCTTTTCACGTCTAGGAACCCAATTATTTGCACATCGATCAAGAACATCATGAATCATGAACGTTAATCGTGGAGCCAGTTGGGGATTTGTTGACAATTCTTCCAATTGGATGAAGTATGTATCATTAATTTTCCGTGACTTGGTGCTCTCGTCAAGCTGTTTACCAATAGTGTAGAAGAATTGACATATGGCCTCCACGTTTTCCTCCTCTGTGCAGGTCTTACTATCAGACCCTAAAAGCTCCTGAACAATGTGATGACCAATTTTTTCAGGCACTATCTTCTGTTTCAAAAGCTCCCCAATTAGATGAATGTTTCCGAGTGTCCAAGTTCTAAAAGTCCAAGATGTCAAATTTCTTTGCATTTTCTCTAATTGTGATAATTGTTTGTGAATTTTCTCTGGCTGGACAGAATTTCTCTGGTTTGAACTTAGAGAAATTTCAATTTTCTCTAGTTTGAATCCAGAGAAATTCTCTGTCCAAATTTCTTTGGTAGTTCTTTCTTGTTCAAATTTCTCTGGTATTGGATTTTCTCTGCATTAGCAATTTTTTTAACAAAAATTTTCTCTTTGGAGCCAATGTGTGAACCATGGAACACATTTTGCCTAAGGTTCATGATTTTCAACCAGAAAAGATTGTGAAAGGGAATTTATTTGGGTTGGAGAAGGAGATTTCTCTGGTTTGAGTGATTTTCTTTGAAGTAGAGGTGAGATTTTCTCTGATTTTGAAGAATTTCTTTGGGTTGATGTGAATTTCTCTAGTGAGATTTTCTCTGTGAATTTTGTTCAAGTTGAAGTTTCAAAAATTAACAATTTTGTTCAAGTTTGGAGAAAATGAGAGTGGTGATTGTTTACTCAAAGATTCTGGGAGTTTATACAGATTATATGTGAATTTTCTATGGATTTAGTCACAGTGTAAATTTTCTCTGGATTTGGCTATTGTGTGAATTTTTTCTAGATTTAGTCACTGTGCGAATTTTCTTTGAAAAACTTGGGATGTGTTGGTTTCTTTTTAATATTTGGTTACTTCAGTTTCTCTATTAATTTGTTTACTTGCTCAGATATTGGAAGGGAGAAAAAAAATGAAAAAATGTGATTTTGAATGGATTTTCTCTGGTTTGATAATGATTGGGTATATATTGATCTTGAGGTTCCTTTTTTATCAATTTTCTCTGGTTGAGTAAAAACATAAATTTCTTTGGAGAGAAAATCTCTCCAAAAAAAATCTCTGGGAAGCGCAGAGAAAATCTCTAGGAAGCCAAGAGAAATTATTTGGGAAGTGTAGAGAAATTCGAATTTCTCTGGAGAGAAAATATCAGGAAAGTCCAGAAAAAGTTTTTAGGTCGAATTTTCTCTAGATTGATATTGAGAGATTTTAGATATTATAAAAATATTGAATGTCTTTTATGATATAAAATTTTATTGTCAGAGATCTTAAAAAAAAAATCCCAATTAAAAATCAAAATTTTAGTTACTCAAAACAAAACAAAACAAAAAAAAAAAACAAAAGAAGAAAAGAAATCACAGACTTATCAAAATTTTGTTACAGAACGCAGATTCAAGGCTATGAGACCAACACACCTCCGCCTCCTCCTCCTCCTCCTCCTTCCCTAGCAATGGCGGTTGCGCATTGCGCCGCCACCACCACCTCCTCCTTCGTCCCACTCTCTTACTCCACGTCTCCACCACCCAAAAAACTAGTGCTTTCACTCTCTTCCATTTCCTCTCCATTCCCATCAAAACCCACAAGTAGAAAGAACTATCTTCGCTTAAAGCTTCTCAAAACCCTAACTAAACCCTACCCCAATCATCTCCTTCCCCAATCACCCCCCACATCAAACCCCTTAATTCCCCTCGATTCCCCGGAAGAACAAATCGATGAGTCCGAGATTCAGGATTTTGAAATCTCTGAAAAATCGGGAACTTCTGGAGTTTTCAGTGACGATTTGGGGAAATTTTCGACTGGTTCAGTGATTAAAGTTGGGTTGTATTTGGTTGGGGCTTTTGTGTTTCAGACAATTTGTGCTGTTTGGGTATTTGGGTCGGCTGATTCTGACTATGAAGATGGAAACTTGGATAGTAAAGGTAAAACTAGTGTCTTGGAGTTGGGTTTAAATGGTGATAATGAAGGTAAATCAAGTGTTTTGTTGAATGGAAGTGGAAATTTGCTTAATGCGGAATTGGGTTTCGAACAAGGTGGAATTGGGTATGTGGGTGGCTCTGAATTGGAAGAGAGAATTGTTGAAATTCAAGCAATGGCAAGGGACGCGAGAGAGAGTGAGAGATTGAAATCGAAGGCCAATGGTTTGGATAATGATGGTGTTGTTAAAACTGGGATTGAGAAGGAGGTGGATAGCAGATTAGTAAAGCTGAGGAAGAGGTTGCAGAACAGCAGTGAGAAGTTGTCGCCGGTGTTTCCTGTTAATTTTTTAATAAAGGATAGTGAGGTTGAAGATGGGGTTGATGGAGGTAGTTTGGACCCAAAGGATGTGAATGACCCATTGATGTTCAAAAAGAAGTATCAATTTAGAAGTCCATCAGCTATTCTGCGTGATAAACCCAAGGGGTTTCAGGGTTCAGAAGATCATAGAAGTCGTAGTTCAGCTATTGAAGATGAACCAATAAGAGTTGGAAGCGTTGATAAGGATAGTGTTAATTTGTTAGATAAAGAACAACAGCTGGGTAGTGTTTCTTTGCCTTTAGAGGAAGAAAGGAAACCATCAAAGGAAAAGTCCAAATCTTTTCAAACTACAAGGAAGAAGTTGGGGAAAGAAAGGGCAAAAACAAGGCTGGGAAAGGAAAATGGAGTTGCAAAACCTGAACCTGGGATTGGTAATGTTAACCACTATGATCTTTAATTTTTTGGTAGATTTGTCATAGTATCATTGGAATATTCAAATTTACATTATTACTAGAAAAGTTTCCATGTTGCAATGCTATGCTACTTGTGAATCAGTCCTTGTTGTGTGGATCCCTTGATTTATAGTGAGATTATTTGATTGTTAGTTTTATCATAGTGAATAAATTTTTCCAGGACCACAATTGAGAAAATAAAAGAAAAAAATAATGCTTTTTTTATTTCAATTTCTACCTTGTCATAAATTTTGAGTATGGCTGCAGAAGTACTGTAATGTGTCTTTTTAAACCAACGAAATGAGGTACTTTTCTATTAATTTTCTTTACATTTTCAATTATTTTGTAAAAATTTAGGTGCCACACAGGAAACTGGTCTTGGAAGGCCAAAGTTGAGAAAATCAAGCATATTAGATGCACATAATTCTCATAACCAGACAAAACAAATTCAGAGAACTACCACAGTATCTAATGAACATGATACTTTGCCAGGGAATGGCATGGTAAGGAGCAGAGAAGTTGGAAGCAAAGGTGCAGCGGCCAAAGTCAAGGGCAAACAGTCAGATGATAAGGCTGATTTGTGGTGGTTGACTCTTCCTTATGTAAATGTACGTAACTAGAACTTGTGCATGTTTAATAGGTTGATTTCATCTTCTTGTTAGCATTGTATTACATTTTTTTCTTTCTTGTTCTTCTGCCTCTTCTCTCTCTCTCTCTCTCTCTCTCTCTCTTTTGAGTTCAGCTCTTAGACTGAACAAAATTTTGCTTTAAGCTTTTGTGACATTTAGAAACAAAGGAAAAATCATAAGAACTATGAAAAACTTCAACAAGAGTGTCGATGAAATTTCAAGATTTGGCATTACCACGTGGACACTGGAGAGACAATAATCTTGAAATGAATTGTACAAGCAGACATGCAATAGATGTCCCAAGCATGTGAAGCCACATAAACTTGTTTAAGCTGAAACAGAATTTTATTCTTTTACTGCTGAGATAGCGGTTGATAGGTTATCTGTTGCATTTTGTAGAAATATGCTCTAGTAGGTATTGTAACAAAATTTTCAAAATTATGGCATTACCGCATAGGAGATGTATATTGGAAACAAAACTTGTTTAAAATAAGCTTAATAAAGGGTTCTTCGAAGTTCCAACTACAATGCGTTGGGTATGTAAAGTTTTTCTTACCTGATTTAAAGCTTTTTCATCCCATATTTGGCTGAATAATGTGAAATGAGTTAATTATGTAAACCATTTTATAGAAGTTTATAGAGTTACTTCAATGAAGGAAAGTGCAAATCCAAGTTGCAAGAAGGGAAACTTTCGAAACCCCCCCCTCTTCTACATCAATTTCGTATGTAATTCCTTAAAATTTAATTTTCACATGTCTGAGAAAGATATTGTTGTCTCTTACTATTATGTACCTCTATTTCAGGCTATTTTCATGCGCAGAGGTCATGATGGTGAAGGACCAAAGGGACTATTTACATTGAAGACCACACCTTACACAAAGGACAGGGGTGACTCATCTCATATTGTTGCTTTTCAAGACCGTGGTGATGCTGCCAACTTCTGCCATCTTCTGCAATCCTTTTTTGAAGATCTTGGCGATTTTAGTGCCAACATTGTTCCTTTGACAATAAAAGTGAGAACCTTGACTTTGAACCTACCTGTGCATTTACATAATAATGACTAGATTTATGTGATCAGTTGGAACTTTCTAACGGGTTCCACGTGGGGAATTTTTATTGACTAATTTGTGGAATGTTGATGATTCTTAGACTCATACATCCATGTTGCAAATTGCTTAGCCACTCTGTTCAGAGAATATTTTAGGAAACACCATTCATATTTAAGTGTTCATGTCATATGGTCCAAACCCAATAGTTGAAGTGGAATGCTATTCTTTAATTTTGCTTGGGAATTTTATTTTCAGCAGTGCTAACATGATTGAAGGAAACCCTTACTTTTTTCAGGAACTTGATGAGGCAGTGAGATCAGATAACAAGAAGGTGGTTGTAGTGAAGAAAGGGCAACTCAAGCTTTATGCTGGGCAACCACTTGATGAAGTTGAGATGGCCTTGTGCTCTTTAGTCAAATGAAGTTGAATTGCCTCTGCACCAGGAATGAAAAATGACATGCAGAAGATGCTGATTGGACAACTTTCCTAGGGGTGACAAGTGGGAACCATCCCCTTCACTGAATTGAATTCCTTTCCACATCTATTGGCATTGATGGAGCTTTGAGTCAACCAAATGCAGTTGGGATTAGGATATGCTGAGTTGAGCTGATTGAATTTTAACAAAATTAACCATGCAGAGATTCCTTGTAAACACAAAATAGTCTGCCGCATTTAGTTATAAAAGCCATATTGTATCCGTTGTATTGATTTTCCGTTTCTTTTTGTTGTCTTTTTTCTTGTTTTATACTTTTTTTTTTGTTTTTGTTTTTTAGATTGATGTTTCTCAGTTGCATGTATAGTTGAGCAGAATACATTCTTGTAAATGCAAGATTGGAAAAGGTGATTATTTTTAGCAATTGTATATACCCTTTGGCATAATTTCATTCGATTAAAATGCTTGGATTTTGTGGGAACACTTAGGTTTGAACAGCAATTACAGCGTCGGGTGGTTGCATATCTGACTTTTGATGGTTACTGGTGTTTGCATGCATCTTAAGACTTCCATTATGATTTGGGCATTATGGTTCAATACACGGAAACCTATATCTGGCTCCCAAACCACTCAAGTAGTCGGAATCTTGGTCACTGAACTGCGAGACCCCAGGGATCTGCATAATGTTCATGCAACCACCAGAGTCTTTCAATCAAAACAAAGTTTTCAATGAGGTCCATCTTGAGTGGGCCAATTCTCTGGTTTAATTCTCTGGTTTAACAGCAATTTTTAGGGTTCTCTAAAATTTTCGTCTTCCCTTCTCTGGTTTAACATTTTTGTCTTACATGCCTCTGTCATCAATGCAGATATTTCTAATTCCTTGATAGTCAGTGATGGTGAACCGCCATTTCCCAGTAGTAAAACTTGAACACGTGTGTTATATAAAACTTGAACACGTGTGTAAAATTTGAAAGCAGCATTTGTATTTCCAGACTACAGTGATCTGAAGAAAACTGTAGTGCAATGAAGCAGCAAATTGAAACTCTGTTCTGAAATGATTCAAGCCAAATTGAAACTCTGTTCTGAAATGATTCAAGCCAAATGATATAGATGGGGAAGTTATTGGAACAAATAATGCTTCCTTCTTGTACATATATCTCTCAAACTAAACCTAAATTAATGTAAAAACATGTTCTACTAGTACTGCGCTGTAACAAATGCTACTAGTAACTTCAACTAACCACAATACTACTGGGACGAAACAACTTTAACAATGGACTGTGCATGAATAGCTGATAAATTGGACTGGCAAAAGGCTTGCCATGACTCCAGTTTCTCTTCTTCATTCTCTGTGAATTTCTCATATATCGATGCCACCATACTACGAGCTGCTTCTCTGGCCTCGGGCAGTCTGTCATTCAACAAATCCGCAGCAAGTTGGACCAATGAAACCAACCCAAATTCTTCAATTGCTCCTATCCCCTAAAATTGAAAAAATAGATGTATAATTAGTTCACACATACACACACCATCTTGTTGGTGTCAACCTAAAAGTAGCACATGTTGACATATTTGAGGAGTGTGATGCTATAATTGAATAGTTCAAATTCACAAAACAATAAAGAAAATGAATTAAGTGAATAGAACACAAATCGGAGGAGATCAAAACTCACTATTCGCAACACACTCTCTCTCAAACCCCCCCCTAAACCTCTAAAAAAGGCACCGGGCTTGTTGGCCCCGGACCCCATGTGGGCTCTAAGATATTGAGCAGCCAGCCTTCCACCCTCCGTTAAAATGTGTACAATAAAAAATACAATAATTGTGCTAGGAATATTGAAGATTTTCACAGAATGAGACATAGATGTCTCAACATTGATATCCCCATTATGTGAAAATCATATGTGCACTTGGATTTCTCAAAATACAGACACCTCACAACAAGACGAATGGTAACTTCTTAGTATTTAGAATTACCATTTTGGAAGCACAGTGAGACATAGAGATTGCAGCTTTGGCCCTGATCCTAAGGTTGGAATGGCTAACAGACGCCCCGAGCTTTTGGAGCAAAGGAAGAGGAGTCATCGAACCCACCATTGCCTTGAGTGCCTTGTCTGCCTCTTCACACACAAACCTTTTATCTTGAGAAGCTTTCAGCAGTAGTTGCAGCAGCTGTGAATGAAGCACACCACACAATCATAACCCTTATTCTAAAAACAAGTGATCTGTCTTTTAGAGATGAATCCGGATTCACTGAATTTGAGATTCCAACTTCAGTGATGAAGTTGTCCGTCAAAAAATGGAAGGTCTAAACCCTAAAATTTTGGGTGAAAGTTGGAACCTCAAATTCATAAAATTCAGACTTTTAAAATGATCATAATGAGAGAGAGAGGGAGAGAGAGAATTGTGGATCCATACCAAGTGGTCAAATGGATCAGAAGTGGTGGGTTCAAGTAGTAACTGATCACCAAAGGCACTAAAGATATCGGATGAAGCCATTATAGAGGTCTTGCACAGAGCACTTCTTGGGTTCTTCATTGCCTTCACCAGCACCAGCATAACTTTTTCCCTGTATACATCACCACATTTTAGCAAATCCCATCTATCCATAGCATCCATTTTACAGATAAATTTCAACAAAAAAATATGTAGAGAGAGAGAGTGATGTCTTACAAAATGGGGAGCAAGAGAGTGGAATGATAGAGTGCGAACCGCCTTGCATTATTCAGGGAGTCACAGACCTTCAACCAATCCTTTGACTCCAACCCTTCAACTAGGCTCTGCATTTTCAAACATCAAAGCAAATTAAATTTTTTGAAGAGAAAACCATATGAAACATCTTCTAAGCTTCAAGACATGCAAACAAAAATCCATTTCAAGAAATAAAGCATCAACTTTGAATGAAACCACAAATAACACCTCCAAAGCTTAAAAATCAAAAATAAAAACACAGAAAACATCAATTTTGAATGAAACCACAAACGGGGTTTTTTTTTTCTTTCTTCCCAAATAACATCCCCAAAGCTTAAAAATCAAAAAACAAAAACACAGAAAACATCAATTCAAGAAAGTGAGGCTTCATGAGAGAGAGGGACTTACTTGGATTTTGATTTCGGGGTCTGGTAAGGGCTTGAGGTTCTCAGAAGAGATGTAATCAATGGTGGCATCTATAGTTGTTGGTGGAAATGGGGCTTTGTTTTCGTCATTTACAGTAACATCAGATTGTTTTTGGATTGGTAATGCAACTTTCGTTTGCTTTTTGGGCCTTTCAGGTGTAATTGGTAGAGCGTTATCGATAGGTCTCAGAGCCATTTTTCACAGTGAGTGAGAGAGAGAAAGAGAGAGAGATGGGTATGGAAGATAACGAATTTTGATTTAAAGGACTGGGTTTTGGGAGAGAGTACATACTACTGAACGTTCCCTTTTAAAAAATTTAAATTTTGAAAAAAAGTTGAGCAAAAAAGGAACGTTAACTTTTCTGTAACGGTCACATTCGGAGAAGGGCTTTTTCTGCGGTTGAAATTTCCAAGGGTCGTCTCTACAATATAAGCGCACACGTGGCTTCGAGTAACTCGGGCTTGTTTAGCTGCAAATTTTCTTTTCCCCTTTTTTATTAAACTTTAAAATTTTTGAAGTTGATTTATTTATTTATTTATTATGTTCTATTAGAGTAGAGACACTTAAAATTTGAAAGAAAAAAAAAAAACAAAACCCGGATTCATAGATCCATGCACATAAAATAAAGTCTACGCTTAGGATTCTTGCTCAAATTCAACACTTCATTGAGTAATGTTAGAAGTTTTAAGGGAATGGGATCACTACTGTGTTAAAAGCATAATAATGATTATTATAAAATTTAAAGTGTATTATGAGTTTATTTTTATAATTCGAACCGTTTCTTTTATAGGGTTTGTTGAGTATTTCATGTCTACCAAAAATTATATTAATCGGATATTAATAACTATATGATCGATAACCAAAAAAATAACAATAAGTTTTTCTTTTAAAAATAGCATAAAAAATATATAATTCAATCATATAGTTATTGATATCCGATTAATACGATTTTGATAGGCATGAAACACTCAACAAATCCTACAAAATGAATGATTTAGATCATAAAAATAAGCCCATAATACACCTCAAATTGAGGCACAACAGTGACCCCATCTCCAAGTTCTAAAAGTTCTATCAAAATTTTTACTAAATGTCTCACATAAGTGTGACCCCCACACTGTGTGAGTCCCATGTGAATCTCATACCCATATAAGACATTTGGTAAAATTTTTAATAAAACTTTTGAAATCTCTAAAATTTTTGCTACACATCTGAATAATAACCACACTTCATTTTGTGATGTGGTATGCAGAAGTGAATCTACTTTCTTTTTCTTTTCATATTTTTGTGTTATTTATTTTCTTGTATTTTGCATGAAAAATGTTATAGATACATATAAATCCACAAACTATTTTTACTTGCAAATGTTACTAACTAAATTTTGATATTTATTGACATTGGATTATCGAAACAAGATTCATAGCGGACTTCAAGCCTCCCTTGTAATGAATACCCAAAAAAAAAATATCAATACATTATAACCTTGAAACTTAGTCTGACCAAACTTTACACTAATATTTAATTCTAAAATTATCAGCATGGACGAGCCATTGGGCCAATGATCACCCCCTTTCTGATGGCAAATAATCGCCACTAGACATATCGAGAGCTGAGGCAGGTTTCCTATTCAAACTCTACACATGGCTCCGTTTGGGAAGAGCTATTTGGGATTTTTTTGGCTATTTTAGCCACAAAAGACAAAATAGACTATTTTAGCCACAAAAATAAAATAGGGCAAATTACATATACACCCCTCCAGGTTTGGTTAAATTACAGATACCCCCCTGAGGTTTCGGAAATTACATCCCGCCCCCTGAGGTTTGTATTTTCATAACAATTTACCCCCTGAGGTTTATATTTCATAACAAATTACCCCCTAATTTCTTATGCAAATATAGCATTCAGGGGGGAATTCGTAATTTCTCAAACCTCAGGGGGGTATCTGTAATTTTGTCAAACCTAGAGGGGTGTATATGTAATTTGCCCTAAATATAAGGAGTCAACCGTTTAGAAATGAAATAAAGAGATCAGAGTAATTTTAATAAAGATATATTATAAAATTAATTAATTTTTTTTTTCATTACTCAATGTTCATTGTAATTTATCCATAATCAATACTTAAAAAAATTCCTGAGGAGTCATGGATGGGTAATAAACATTTTTAAGTCCAATCTATTGGTCAAAGTTGTCATGCTAGAAGATATTTTATTCTAGTTTTCATTAATAAATTATCAGTATATACTTTTGATGGAACAATCTAGGGTTGCTAGTAGTCAAAAAGATGGATTGATGACTGAGCCAAGTGATGGGGATTTAGCAAAGACTGCACATGCAAGTTTTGAAGTTGCGATTAGTGATCCACCAACCATAAGGTTCAAAGTCTACACAAATCATACCCACAAAAACCAACAACCAAGCAAACAGAACAAGACAAGTAAACAAAACACAAAATGACACCCCCCACCTCCCATGTTTTCTCGGCTCTCTCTCTCTCTCTCTCTCTTTTTCTTTTCTTTCATCATCACAAGTCCCACCTCCCTTCCACCCTCACTTTCTCATTAGGTTGTGGTCTCTTTTGGGTCAAAAAAAGACTCGAGTGTTTTATGGAGCAGAAAAGAACTACCGTTCATTAATTTCTTTACAACAATTTAAAGTTGCACTAAAGGACCCAACAAACTCTCTTTGGTTATTGTATTAATTTTCCTCATTTTTGCTATTCATGTTTTCCAAAAAAAAATAGAAATTAAAAAAAAAATCCAAAAACCCAATCATTATACCGTTTTTCCCTTTTTGTTCGAAATCAAAGTTTAAAAAAAATTTAAAAAAATTAAACATGTCTTCAGATTTTTTTTTTTTTTTTTCAGAAGTAGATTATCAAATAAAATTTTCTTGACAATTTCTATATTTCAAGAAAAAAAAACATTTTTTTTTTTTTTTTTAAAGAGGGAGATTGGGATAAATTACAATGAACATTGAGTAATGAAAAAAAAAATTAATTAATTTTATAATATATCTTTATTAAAATTACTCTGATCTCTTTATTTCATTTCTAAACGGTTGACTCCTTATATTTAGGGCAAATTACATATACACCCCTCAAGGTTTGACTAAATTACAAATACCCCTGAGGTTTGAGAAATTACGAATTCCCCCCTGAATGCTATATTTGCATAAGAAATTAGGGGGTAATTTGTTATGAAATATAAACCTCAGGGGGTAAATTGTTATGAAAATACAAACCTCAGGGGGCGGGATGTAATTTCCAAGCTACCCCACCTTAACTCTATGGACCACATCCGCTCCAATCTCCCCAACCGTTGTGATAATCGATCCTAAATAACGAAAATATTCACTCTTAGGTAGTTCTTGGTTCTGAATCTTTACTTCTTCTCTACTTCCATTGTTACAGTTACTAAAATTACACTCCATGTACTCTATCTTAGTTCTGCTTATCCTAAATCTTTTACATTCAAGTCCTTCTCTCCAAGTCACTAACTTGGTATTAACTCATTCTCTAGTCTCATCTACTAACACGATATCATCTGTAAAAAGCATACACCACAGCACATCATCTTAAATACTTCTCGTCAACTTATCCATAACTAAAACAAAAAGATAAAGATTTAAAGTTGATCCTTAGTGTAACTCTATAGTAATTGAAAATTCATTTATCTATTCACCAAGCAATCTAATAGTAGTCACCACACTATCATACACGTCCCTAATCACATCAATGTAACTTTTTGTCACCCCTTTCTTCTCCAACACCTACCAGATTATATCCCAAGACACTCTATCATACGCTTTCTCAAAATCGATAAAAACCATATGAATGTCTATTACTTTTCTCCATACTTTTCTATAATTCTCCTCAAAAGAAAGATTGCTTCCATTACTGACCTACCAGGTATAAACCCAAATTGATTATCCAACACCTCTGTTATATCTCACAATCGATGTTCCATCACTCTCTTCCACACTTTCATTATATGACACATTAGCTTGATTCCTCTATAGTTGTTACAATTTTGGACATCTTTATTTTTATAGATTAGCACTAAAATACTCTTTCTCCACTCCTCTGGCAATTTCCTAGTTGACAAAATCTTGCTAAATAACCTAATCAACCAAGCAACCCCCTTCTTACCCAAACATTTCTAAGCTTTAATAGGGATATCATCGGGTCCTAAAACCTTATTTGATTTCATATTCTTAAATGCAATCTCCACTTCAAAATTCCTAATCCTGCGATAGAATCTATAATCTTGATTTTCCTTATTACTGGCTACTTCCTCCCCTATTGGCCTACCTCCATGTTCCTCATTTAACAGCTTCTCAAAATAGTTCTTTCACCTCTCCTTAATCTCTTCATCCTTCACCAACACCTAAGAGTCTTTACTCTTGATGCACTTAACCTGATTAAAATTTCTTATCTACCTCTCTTATCTTAGTAAGTTTATGTATTCTCTTCTCTCCCTCCTTACTATCTAGTCTAGTGTATAAATCATCATAAACTTTCAACTTAACCTTTCTCATTACTTTTTTGACCTCTTTATCAGCCAATATATAACTCTTAAGATTTTTTGCAGTTCTATCCTTCTACCACTTTTTAAAAGCACTCTTTTTTCATCTTTATTACAGCTTGAACCTTCTCTCTCCACCACCAAGTTTCCCTAGAGTTGGGTCCCTTTCCTTTCGACTCTCCAAAAACTTCCCTTGATATTCTCCTTATACAATTGGCCATCGAGTTCCACATAGCGTTGGCATCATCTTTCAAATCCCAAGTATCTTCTTTATCCATTCTATTATTAAATATTTCTACTTTATCCCCTTTTAGGTCCCACCATCTCGTCCTACGACGCCCACTATCCTTTCTAGCTTGGTATTGCCCTTTAAAGCATAAATCTAGTACCAAAATTCTATGTTGAGACGTCAGGCTCTCTCCAAGAATCACCTTACAGTCACTACATTTTAGACAGTCCACTTTTCTCACTAGAACATAATCTATTTGGCTCTTAACTGACCCACTCTTAAATGTTATCAAATGCTCCTCTCTCTTCTTATACATAGTATTGGCCACCACCAGGTTGAAGAAGTTATTTTCCAAACTTATTTGATGAAAATCAAATATAGAAGTTACTTATAAAAAGTAAAATAAAATAAAAAACGTTTCCCCATGTATGGAAGTTGGAGATTCACCAAGCTAAGTGCCCTTAGTGTCATGTCAAAGCCTATGAAGCATGGACACTCCAAAATCGGAGTCGTGGCGATGTCCGACA